GGAAATATAAGGTAATGATAAACACCCCCCCCCCCCCCTTACTTTTGTGCTGGCAGGTAATGCAAACCGTACACTTTCTGGTCACTATAAAAGCACATTAAGACCACCTACCATAACTCACCACTTTCAATACTATTTCTTGAAGCATAACCCCTTCCTCTTCTACATGCTCTGTCAACTTCATATACCATACTCACATGTACATGTCAGTGTTGTGGCAGTAAGCGGTAAAGTGCCTGTCATTGGAGTGGTGGTGAGGAGAGTATTGTATGTCAATGCAGTGACAGGGTGACAGGCAGCCATTGTAGATGTAGGTGATTGACGCAGCATTGTGCAAGAAGTGGGTGCTGTGCCAGCAGTATGATAGGAACAGCAGGGGGAGCTGTGTGGGTGGAGATGGTTAGTATGGACAGATAATTAGACGTGCACCAGCAGCAAAAAAATTATTTAGTTTCGTTTTGATTCTGATTTTGCGTTATTTTGTTTTTCGGGATTTGGGTCCGAAAATCAATTCAATTCAGATTCGGACGAAATTCGTTAGCGGTAGCCTGTGCGAATTTTCGTTTTGTTCGTACGTTCTTTCGTTGCAGCAAAGTGACATTCGAGGGAAAAAAAAACATATATTTTTTCCTCGAATGTCACTTTGCTGCAACGAAATTTCGTATAACAAACGAAATTTCGTACAGGCTACCGCTAATGAATTTCGGAAACGGAAATTTGGATTTGTTTGCATTCGTTATAGCTGTAATTCGAAATTCGGATACATCCGAATGTCCGAAATTTCGTCCGAATTTCGTTTTGGAATGAAACGAATCGCACATGTCTACAGATAATTGTCCATCTGGTGCAGACTGGATACTGCGTCCAAGTGTGGCTGAGCAGTGCCAAGAAACAAATGCCACACACAGTTTTTACATCAATGCGCCATACACATCATCTTGCAATGCTATAGAACCCAACAGTCATCCCAAAAAAGTCAAACTTGAACAAATGAATTGCATTTATTTTACTTTGCTGGTAAACCTTTCCATTGCAATTTAACTGTGCCTACGGAACCCTGTACATTATTATTTTGAACTTGCAATCTCTATCTCAGGATGGAACTTAGGGGGAAACTAAAACTCCATTTTACTTCCTGTATTCTTCTTTCATAATAAGTATAGCATAAGATAAGGGATAGTCACAGTTCAGTAACTTGAAATCTTCTTTAAATGAAAAGTCAGATTTAAAGGGATATATTTTAATGTTACCAATGTAATAAATATAGTGGTAGGCGGCTTTTGACTGTAACATGTATGTTAGTGACATATATGATAGATGACAATGATTCATTTTAAACAGAACAATGTCATATTTCTGTATAGCAGCCTTCTTATGTGATTTATAATGTGTGGAATATGGCTAACAGCCATCTGTGCTGGATTATTTTTGAAAAGCATATCTTAATCGTAACAAATATAGACATCCACATCTGGGAGTGAGCTAGTAAAAATCTCAAGCTTACAATCCCATGTATTAAGAATTTGTATGTGGTGAATTGAATTGATTACCTGTGTGCTTGATTGCTGAATGGTATTTGCAGATCATATGAATCATGGCTATTACTTAAATTGTATGTAAATTGTATGTATGGTTTTTTGCTTCAGAGAAAGTAGAGAAAACCTGTATAAGGCTATTTTTTGCCTGTGATCTGTGCAGGCCTGGATTCTCCACAAGGCCACCGAGGCCCAGCCTCGGGGTGGCAGGGCGCAGAGGGGCGGCAGCGATGTCCTTGTGGGGAAGTTCCGGGCGTTGGGCGGTAAGTTGCCCTCTCTACATTTAGCCCTGCTTTTTACAAGCAGGACTAAATGTGGAGTGAGGGAAGCCGATTGTTCGTTTACATGTGATTTCGTCGATGTTGCGTTTGGCTGCTCTTCGCAAGGTGGGAGTCCTAATGTTATAGGGGGTCACCTGGCTTGAGAAATCTATGTGTAGTAAAACCAGAATAACACATGTATCATGAGTCTATAGCTCTATTCTACTTTCACAGGTGTCAAAAGGGGTAATGAAGGGCAGCCAATGCATTTTGGGGGCAAAACAATCTCCCTTCATCGGGACTGTATTAACTTTAACAATCTCTTGGACTCGAAATTTGGAGCATGGATCAATCAGTCAGAGCCAAGGAATTGCAATGTATAGTCAGAGGATGTCTGATGGCTGCTTAACACAGACATTTATTGACTTTACATTGTAATTCCCTGGCTCTGATTGATTGATCCAGGCTCCCTATTTTGAGTCCTAGAGGTTATATAAGAATTATTAACCCTGATGAAGAGGGATTGTTTTGGCTCATAAAATGTGTTGGCTGTCTTTTATTACCCTTTTGACACCTGGGGAATTGATAGAATACACTTCTGGACACTGACACATACCTGTGTTTGGTGCTCATTTCGGTGTGACTACACATTTTTTCAGGCTTTAGCATGCATTAAATGATTCTAGAGAGATTGGTATAAAGGTTGCATTTTACCAGTGAGCATATTAGAGCAGTGCATAACCTGAGTGCTGAGGACTGCAGCTGCGAGAGCAGCGCAAAACCTTTGAGTGCTGAGGACTAAAGAAAGTGTTCAGAGCTGCAGTTACTACAGTGAGTGTAACAGTATAATAAAAGATATATGTTTTTGTTATACTAAACATGGCTGATTTAATTCCAATAATTGCTCTTTCACCTTTGCAAAACTGATTTTTCCCCTCCCAGAACTACTATCACGTGCCTCCATCTCAGCTATCTCTCTAGTAAATCTTTGCACACTGCTCAGAAATTGCACATATGGAAGCTTTTAGTAAGCTGTAATACTGAGCCTGCTATACAATTACTCTGTAAGAGGTCACTAGCGCTCTGACTGCAAACTGCCTGTATGCCACACCATAATGGCTGAAAAATAAGCTGCTAATAATCAAGATAAAATGTTTCAGGACCAGTCTGTTTTATGACCCTGACAACATTCACAAATTGGTTTACTGCTCCGTCTGGCTCCATGAGACTTAGTACTGATGATATTGAGATGGATTGCAACCATAACAGAAAAGATCCTTGAATAGCTGGGGATTTCTTGCAGACAAGCACTGCAAGTCATTAACAGTGTGAACAGACTATGGTAATGGTAACTTATACTTTGGTTCCACAAAAATGGCAAGCAAAAGGCTTTCTGATTGGATGTCTTTGTTTTCTCAACACAAGGCTACAGACATTATGATGAATAGCTTTTATTTGACTATTCTTTATTTATGAGTAAAGATTTTCACAGGTGACTAGCCACTGACAATAAGCTTAGAAATTAATATAATTATATCTGCTATCTGCACATCTGTTGATTTTACATTTTTTTTCCCCAATTAAAGATCACTATATCCAGATCTTAGTTTGTGAACACGAGTGCATAAGAGATTTATCCACGCGACCTGGGCGCCTGTCACCTATTGAGAACTTCCTTCCCTTACATTATGACTTCCTGCAATTCAGCTACTACAGAGGTAATATTGCTTTTATTCTAATACCCCTTTCGGTGTCTTCTGGTCTTTTAGAAGCTTCAGTAGTCATTAATGAGTTATGCACTAAAATAAATTGTATGTAAAGTGTTGGGATCCCAGTCAGTTTTTTATTACTACCTGTGTCCCTGACAGGGGAGGGATTCACCCTCTTTATTTGTCCTGCTGACCATTGTCAGGACAACCTGCTATGGGAAACAAAAGTGTTGTTCTGTGGACACTTTTTATACTTAAAACCCTTTGTTCCAAGCAGTCTGCATTTGCTTACTTTATCCTTTGTCCTTTATCAAACCCCATCAAGAACCGCACAGCCTTACTTCACAAAATGTCCTCATTAGCATGCACATGTGTCAAGACCCCATACATTCCTATGGGGAGAGCTGCACTCTGCAGGACCTCTGGATGCCCACATGTGTACCTAATGGGAATGAATGATGGCACACATGCGCTGACAGAAGATGACACAATGAGAACATTTTGTGAAGCAAGGCACACAGTTAATATTGCTGGGTTAAGGATGAAGGTGAGTAGAGTTGCTACTTTCATTAAAGGACAACATTTACCAAAAGTACAGTTGTCCTTTAAATCAGAAGTCTGGCCGTTTTGTTGTGGAGTGAGAAAGGAAGGCTTAGAATCTCATTGGTAGCTGACAATGGTGGGCTTTCACCTCACTTTCTGTTGTAATCAGGACAGTATCCCAAGGGGAATCAGGCAGCAATAAAACACTATCCAAAGCAATGATTCATGCACTTTTCTTTTCATTCGGCTGTAATACCTCTTCTCTATTTTTCCATTCAGTCGGAGATCACTTGAAAGCCTTGGAATGTGCCAGGTCCTATCTGCTCTTCCATCCTGAAGATAAGGATGTGTTGGAAAATGTCAGCTTTTATGAGAGTCTTCTACAAGATTATATGGATACAGCTGACATCAAACCCAGAAAGGTTAGCCGAAACATCCATATTTGAAACTACCTGATTTTAGAAAACAAGTGACAGCAAGCATGCTTGAGTAACATAAGATTTTTAGGCATACCACTAAATGTCAGTGAGCAGTTAAAGAACTGGTAAATGGAGTAATCCTTTAACCCTTTCGCTGCCAAGCCCTCCGGAACATTTTTCAAATCAGCTGGCCAAGCCATTTTTGAATTTTCTGCAATTTTTTCCTATTGGTTTGATTTTCAACTGCTGCGTTGCTAGCGTTTGTAAAATCTAAACCCAATACCAAAAATCACATATAAGCTTTAACATGTTAATGAAATTTTAAGTCATGTTCTGTCTTTTTAAATCTGCAGCATATATTAAAATGTTCCCAGGTAACCCTCATATGAAGGTCCTTGTTCAGGCATTTCCTTTTATAGGTCAGCAACAGTCCACCAATTATTAGTTGTCACCCTGTCACATGGCACCCCTGCTGGAGACTACCATACATTGCACAGATGTGGTCCAACATTGTTATTACCAGGAAGTTGGTCCAGAGCAGTGATGTGTAGCCCCTGCTGGAGTTAATGCATGTAGACCGGAAGTGGCAGAAATAATCCCTACCCCCGGGATGCAGCAAAGGATGAAAAAGGTGAAAGCAGTATTTTATATAAAAAAAAGAATAAAAACAATTCTTTATTTTTACTTTGTCATCCTGCAAATAACCCCCTTCCTGTTCCTGGGTGGATACGTCACACACTTCACTGCATCTATGGAGGTATCCCTGGTTGTCACACTAGGTAGGACTGCAAACATGTCTTTCTTTGTTCATCTCCAATACATGGGGGATGGGAAGATTAGTGGTTTACAGAAAGTAAATAAGATTGTTTCATGCTTCCAGTTCATCTCACAGGAAGTACCAAGCAGGGGCTGACTGGCAACTTTTAGCCCAGGGGGCAATTGCCACCCTGCCCCACGGCCCAGTCCGCCCCTGGTAACAAGGGCGCTGTATTTCTGGTAAGATCAACATGTATTTTCTGTATTTGCTGAAAATGTTCAAAGCCAGAAAAATTAAACTAATTAGGGCCCTACATCTACATACTTGTATATACAGTATTAGTTTTATATACTTGGGTTTAGTTATCCATTAATTGTGCACAAGCAGACTTTGTGGTAATCAGGTTCAACAGTATCGGATATGGTCCAAGATTTTCTTTGATGTTGTCATCCTATGTTAATGTACATAATCATCCCTAAGTACTAGTTCTCTTGCTGCTGTAAAGACTTTCAGCAACAGTTACCTCTTGAAGTGTATTTTCACTTTTTTAGTCATATTTGAGAAACCCCCACATATATGTTGTTCTGTGTTCCCATTTACACAGTATACCTAAAACTATGTTTTTCTTCTTCTATAGTTCTTATCTTTCTAGCTGTTTGTTTGGAGCAGGATTATACATAGTACACTTCAGGCAGCTTCTAGTGGTTAGAATTGATGGCAATGTGCAGATGAGGGGACAGACCGAGGGACTGTCCCCTCATATACAATGCCTTGAGTTCTTTAATGCTTTCTTAGGACAGAACGTCCTGCTCATCTAGACTTCAAGTGATATTGAAATCTACCAGCACGGTACAGACCATTTTAATTATGGCCCCCTTTATTATTTTAAAACAAAGTAGGATTTTTAGTCCTGGAGTTTCCAGAAAAGAGCATCTAAAAAGGTATGCTGCAATTTTGAATATGTTTTTAAGGATATGCTATGTAAATGGGAACAAGTAGCAAATATAAATTAGGTATTATTCCAGTTTGGCTGCAAAAGTGGAACTACACTATAAGCTCTCATGTGGCCCTCGCACTTCTCGTGCAACTGCGACACCCTCCTCGTCTTCGTCCCCACCTTGTCTCCGATACTAAGTTCTGATACTGGCCTTCCTGTGAATCGCTGAGACTGACCGGAAATTTTAGTGAGACCGCACAGCACAGCATAGACCCTGCACAGCCACCTGACTCCGCACAGCCACTTGAGAGTCTGCACAGCCCACCATAGAACCTGCACAGCCACTTGAGGGTCCGCACAGCCCACCATAGACCCTGTGTAGCCCACCTGAGAGTCTGCACAGCCTGCCATAGACCACACACAGCCCACCACAGACCCTGCATAGCCCACCTGAGAGTCTGCACAGCCACCTCGGAGTCTGTACTATTACACTGATTGCCATGAACCGTACGTTTGAGATCTCACCAGAGTGGCTCAATGATGTTAAGTTCAGGAAGCTGTGATGGCCACTCCAGAACTTTAACCTTTTTCTGCTGTAACCACTGGAGGGTCAACTTGGCTCTGTGCTTAGGGTCATTGTCATGCTGGAAAGTCCTAGAGCGTCCCATGTGCAGCTTTCATGCAGAAGAATGCAAACTGTCTGCCAGTATTTTCTGATAACATGCTGCATTCATCTTGCCGTCAATTTTCACAAGATTCCCAGTGCCTTTAGAGCTAACATACCCCCAAAACATCAGTGAGCCACCACCATGCTTCACAGTGGGGATGGTTTTCTTGTCACTATTGGCCTTGTTGACCCCTCTCTAAACATATAGCGCTTATGGTTGTGACCATTTTAACATGCGTGTATCACCTTGTGTGTCTGTAACAAGGGCAAACATTCCAGAGTAGGTAAACTTTTGATCAGGGCCATTTTGGGAGATTTCTGTTAGCATTATGATTTAAAAATAAGCCAAACACTACGTGATAATAAATGGCTTCATATGATCACTATCCTTAAATAAAAGACAGTTTTGTGGCATGATGAGCCATATTTTATATTTTTAATAGCAATGCCAAAATGTCATGATTTCTGCCAAGGTATGCAAACTTTTGAGCACAACTGTATTATCCAATGGAAGGGTATGACTTATTTGCTTAGCTAAATCCAGGTGGTAACTTTTTTTGGCCAGATAGTGTACTTACTAGTATCCTATGATAGCAAGGATCTCACATGGGAAATTGTGTTTTACAAATGCATTTTAAAATAGCAAGTGCCATAGATATTGTAAATAGTTTCAGATCCTGGAATGCTGGAGTGGGGCAGTGGCAGCCACTAACACAGAAAAACAAGCAATTTAAAAGAAAACACAAAAACACACACCACTGCTTGAGGATCACAGAACCTACAGTAGACACTTTACATAGTCATCTTGAATGGAATGTGCATGTGTGTATGGTTCTCCTGTTCAGTTGGCTGGTTTAAATATAGGTGTTTTTTCTGTGTTGACTTTACCAGAAAATAATGTAAATGCATCAATATATTAAGTTATATAAGGAAGTTTCCATGTAATAGACATGTGTTGGTTTTTCCAGGAGGCTGAAGAATTTATAAGACGTCACAGACTGGAATCTGAAATTATACACTTTGCAGCTGAAGGATTCGGGTTTTCCTACAATGAGCCAGTAAGTGTTCATAGATCAAAGAATCTGTGCTTAAGAATATAGCACTTCAGTTGATTATTATTATTATCATTATTATTATTATTACCATCATCATTATTACTATTTCTTCATATAGAACCAGTTCTAAGCAAAATAAAAAAGAACTTAAGTGTTGCCACGTAAATTGTAGTTCACCAGTTATCATGCAAGTACTGAATTACCTCATCCAGGGGAAACCGTGCAATTCATGTATGCCGGTTGTCAGAATACATGAATTGTACATTTCTGCCTAAAATGGCCTTTTTTATGCTGTTCTCTGTTATACAATTTGTTTGACTGTGTTAGTCTGGGTTCACACCTGAGCGCTTTCTTTTCAGCTTGTTTTTTCCGCGTTTTTTCCCCACGTTTTTTAGCGCATTTTTCCGTTCAATGAAACGCGCATTTCACTGGCGGTATGGGATCGCGGACAAGGTAAGACCTTGTACGCTGTATTCCCGAGTGTGGATCGGGGTTACCGCTCCTGTACTTCTTTGGGCGTAGGGCGTTTTGCAGCACGTTCCTACGCGCTGTAAAATGCCCAGGTGAGAACCATGCCCATAGGCAATCATTGGTTTTCACATGTTGAGCGTTTTACAGCGCATAGGATGGCCACTTTATTGAGATATATACATATCTCAATACAATTATTATCATTATTATTTCTTTTATATTCTGACGACGGCCGCTGTAAAAAAAAAAGAAAGGGCACCTCCCTGAAATGAGACGGGAACCTCCCTGAAATAAGGTTTTGCAGGTTGGGATGTCTGCTCTCATCCCCCCCCCCCCCCAAAAAAAAAAAGGCTTGATTTACTTTAACAAAATGTATATTTTAAGATGATATGTAACATATTCAAATGAAATCGGTTCTGATAGTTTCAGTTTTTGTAATATTTTAGTGGATGTGTCGCAAGACTGCACAAGTATCAGTATAACTGTATAATATGCTGCCTTTATAATATGAAAATACAGAAAACATTCATATTTCCTCTAGCCACCTCTGGTATATGTAGTGAACATTGGAGAAATTCCTCTCAGCTTTTATAGCTGAATTTCAGGCAGACATAGTAAGAAGCACTTAATTCTGTTATGTATTGATTTATAAAATGTATTTTAAAGTGTAGCAACATACCTGAATCTGCATTGATATTAGCTGGCTGTAATCCCCTGTGCAGCACCATTTAAAATGGGGGAGGGAGGGACAGCACTAGGAGCCAGTTGAGCTCTGCAGCAGTGCAAATGCGCTCACAGTGAGTATGCTGGCAGGAGGAAAGAACAGAGAAATTACTTAATCAGCGTGTGTCTGTGACCTGCTGCAACAAAGTTTCCATACCTGCTTGTGCTGTCAAGTAGGAGTCTTTGAATCAGATAATGAAATGTTGTCTTGCTGAAGAGAATTTTCAAATCCTTTGCCAAGTAATACAATACCTATATACGGGATGTATTTAGTTGGTAGCCTAGAGTTCCACTTTAAAAAAAAACAAAAACTGTAAAAGCCAGAAGAGAGAAAACAATCAAGTATTTTCTTCCTATTTCTACATTCTGTCTTTCTGATCTTAAATACTGAATTGTGTAACAGGGTTCTTAATACAAGTGTATCACTTCACATAAGACACGGCTTAGGCAGTACAATTGTGTACATCTGAATAGCATCATTGAGCTATTCTTTTACTGCCTCACATAGCAGAGCTGTCCTAAGCAACTGTTTCATTTGTCTTGTCAGTCTTGTACAGCTCTCATAACATCAACAATACAATTCATTACGCAGATGATATGTTCACTATTAAAATCAACAACTCTGCTGTATGAGGTTTTTTTTTTTTTGTGTTCCTAGAAAAAAAAAAGTTTGTTTAATAGTATAATGATTGACTGAAAACTCTCTAGAAGCATCCTCTTCTATTTTTCTTTCTCCGCCATCGGACTGACCATGATGTCAAGATGCTTGTAAATTGAGCTATCGTGCCTCATTTAAAAACAACATTGTTCAATGCATATGAGTAGTCAGATCCATCTAATAATAAACTCATATAAAGAGCTCTGAAATGCCTTCATCCTTGAAGAACGTAGGTGAGGAAGGAGCCTCTCGACACCAATGCATGATTTAGCTCAATAGTTCGAGTAGAAAGTGTGTAGCAGAGCAGAACCTACGGTAATAAAACAGGCTTCCCCATCTCTTTCAGAGCAATTCACAACAGAGTAGGGCAGACATTAATGCAGCATGAAAACCAGGACTTTCAGAAACAAATTCATAGTTATTGTTCCTGCTTAACCGTAATTTGTCTATCAGCACTGTATTCATTCTGAGAGATGACTTGACAAAACACCTTTTGACTGTAAAAGCAAGTAAGGGTGCCTACAGTTACCCATGTGTGATAATACACTGATTGCAGAAGGAGTTACCGAGTCCAACATTTATCCACTAGCTGGGATTTTAAGCCTGGGTGGATAACTGCTTTAAAAGATTTAGAGCTCTCTGACTGGTAAAGGATAACCATACCTCTGTGATAAAAATGAAATCAAATTTCAATCAGAATGTATGAACACAGCAAAACCTTATAGAAACTGCAGAAATAAGGCATTCCCTACATGAATTTAGCTAAACCCACTTTATTGCCTACCACATGTAATCTCAACCAGCCATTTCTGAGCAAACTGTGCACAGTTACAGGGATCGGGAGATGCCTTGCTTGTCCTGTGTGAGAGAAGAGAAGAGAAGAAGGGGGTGTAAATAAAAAGCATTAGATACACGTAGGATCCTACATGATGCCTCTCAAAGCATAGAAAAGCTATAATTTGATATCTTCAAATTTATTTGCATAAATTAGAAGTTTAAAATGATCCTAGAAATCTAACATCTATTACACAATAGGAAACAATTGATACCGCCAAAGGATTACACCAACTGACATACCCATTGATATGCATGCTGATATTGTAGGAGTATATACACACAATAGACACCTTTACCTACTTTTTCCCATAGAGCCTGAGCCAGTCAAAGAAAGTCAACTTTGCTTTTCTAAACCATCAAGTGTTCATGTGATCAGTAACCATGTGGTCTAAAGAAGAACTCCAAGCAAATGACAAATGAAACTTGCAGTGGGGCTATCCCCGCACTGCAAGGGTTAACTGCTCATTTTGGTCTAGGGTCTAAAATAAAAAAGATACGCTCACTCAATGCTCAATCCTACAGTGATGACCGCTCTCCTCTCTCGCCCTTCACCGCTGCTGTAAAATGTCCCTCAGCATCCTCATGTCCATGGCAAGTCAATAAACTTGTGTTAAATGTGATGACCACAAAAGCCCAGGGGAGAAGAGGCTGGGGGGGGGGGG